TTAAGATCATGATTAAAGTTGCTATGGTCAAGTGCGTTTTGGTATGCAGGTGCAGATTCCATAAATGTTTGCTCATCTGATGAAAGCATTGCGATGCGCTCTTTAACTGATGTAGGAAGCTGCCTTATAATGCTAGGTGGATGGTTAGAGTACCTATTTATGTATAGCGGATCGTCATTGGGCTTTCTATTGGGCCTATATTTTCCGTTGTTAAGATTGAAAATTACATCTAAAAGTTTACTATGCGTAAATTTGATTCGGCGGTGATCTTTAGGTCAAACAGCTCGAAAATTTTGTGGATTTCTTTCCTTGTTTTGTCTGCTAAACGTGCCGATTTACTTTTTATAAGGGCCAAACCGTCGTCTCTATATAGGCCGATGCTTTCTTTGCCAAACTTCTTACTTAGGTGATTTAGGATGAAAAGGCCAACTAATTCACATATTTCAGCGCCATCGTGGCTGCCCATGGTAACGTCAAACAAACCTTCACTATCTTTTTTAGTCCATGGTTTTCCGGTGTTGAAAAGCAGGGATTTTCTGGCGTGTTTTATGATCAAAATATCATTATCCGAAATGGTAGTTAAATTAGAAGCCCAAGATAATGCTTGGTCCAAAAGCTTTTCCGAAATGGATGGGTAAAAATCAACGATGTCAAACGAAATAAAACTATGTCTTTCTTTGTCTTTTATATTTCGAAACCATTCAATTACTTGTTTTGTATTTCTCCACTGGTTCAAATTCAGTTTTTGTCTCAAATTGGAGTTAATTTCATCTAAAATAATTTTGCTCAATTTTTCTGATTCGCTTTTAGCGGGATTAATTAGCCGACATTTTGGATTGTTCTCGAAATTTTCTTTGTGGTCTTTTAAAGATATAAATGCTTCACGTTTTTTCATTTTTTCAATTCTGTCGCCGATTCCTAAATTGTTCGAAATGTCTTTTAATTCAGAGTCAATTTCGTCTATAGTGTCCTCGGATCCATGTTTTTTTGTAATGTTGTCATGTAAGAGCTTGTTGTATGTGTCGAGCAATGCTTCATAAATATTTCTAGTTTTGTCTGCAAAAATGAAAATGTTGGGAGATGAATTAATTTTCTTCAAATCGTTAGCCAAAGATTTCTGAAAATGGTTTTTCCCTGATCGAAATTGTATATTTTCGCAAATTGTATATTATTGTATATAAGCAACTTTTGCTTACTGGAAGCTGACAAAAGCAGGATATTGAATAAACGCTCAGAAATATTCGCGAAATGCTGTCATAGAAATAGTTTTAGCGCGCGCAGATTTGAACGCACGCGAGATGCGTCAGCAAACCGTTAGTTTAGAGCACGTCATTGAATCAACTTCATTCGCCTGAAGATCGCTTTGAAAGAAGCGTGAAACACAGTGTAGCGATAAATATATTTTAAGATTAAAGAATTATATATATATATATATATAGATAGATATAAATATATATATATATATATATATATATATATATATATATATATATATATATATATATATATATATATATATATATATATATATATATATATATGAGATAAAATAAAATGTCAGTTGCCACTGTCGATGTTTATTGCCACTGTCGATGTTTATTTATTGTAATACCGTATAACCGCATTAATCTAAATCATGACCGTATTAATCTAAATTTGGTTGGGGCCCCTCGGGGCCCCCTAACAGTCGGGGGCCCTTAGTTATTGCCCTAACCCTACCCTATGTGCGTTACGCGACTGTGTGCGGCCCGCTAATGCTTTGTAGTTCATATATACATTATGTATACATTTTAATATTCAGTATTTCTTCGTTGCACAATGTACACGCCTTTCGTCAATTTAACTTTTGACTGTTTATTTACCGCAGTCGACGCTGATTGGTTCGCGTTTAGTAGATGCGAAAAAGGGATGATTGAATAAAACGCATGGTTCCATGCAGGCTAACCTTCCTCACAGTGAGCCTGTTCGCAGGCTAGGGATTGTGTTGCATCCTTTTCAGAAATTTTTTAAAATCTAGACTCTCTAAATTGGCATTTTAATATATAATCATCGTATATTCAGTATATACGTTCAACTTGCATCCTGTAGATGTGCCTTTGAAGCTTTAATAGTTTGGAGCTACGTTATCAAAAAACGCACACAGATTCAATCATTTAAAAATACTTTTTCTACCATACATATTAGATATGTATAAATAACTTATAAACTTGTACATATCTTAAGCCCAGATTTTCTCAGAGGGGGGGAAACAAATGTTATAGGCTCCAAAGGCTTTAGAATCCCTGTGATGTTGTCCACTGTTCACCCCGTGTTCTTTTAAGCAAATGTACCCACTCAAAAATGCAAAATCGTGCAAGCCTGTGGAACAATACTGAAGTGAAGAATGTCAATAGATTTACATGACGGAATTTTTTATTTGAGCGCCCTTTTTTGCATGATATTTTTATTTCTCGATTGTATGCTGCATGATTTTTTTCTCTTTCTCCTTGGATTGCAGGAAATTTTTTTCGAAATCTTCCAACCCCCCCCCCTCTCAAAAATTGAGTATGGGATTTATCGTCTTAGGCCTGCCCGAAAGTTGTTCGCGCGATTCTTCTTCGAGGCTTCGAGCTGGTATTTAAAACACAACAATATTAATAGTGTATTCGTGTAAACGCATGGGAAATACTTTTTTATAAAACGATGATGTAACATCGATGAAATTTGAATGCCACCTACGCTAATAACACGCATAATGAGGTGTCGGAATCATTAGCTAATGCTTATTAACGATATTATATTTTGCTCGCGTTTTATAACATCGTATCGTTGGACGGTGGAAAACAGTTCGATACACTATACGTGTGCATGAACTCGGATATTTTTGGAATCGCCAGCAAAATGTTATGATATTTAAAACAATCCGACTTTTCGTGAGGCAGCGGTCTTTATATGTTCCTATTTCGATATATTTCGATATTTTTTTCATTCAATTTGAAAAGCACCACAGACTTCATGCCGACTTTCTATAAATATTTATCTGATTTGGTTTCGCTACATTGGTTCATTTCGTCTTCCGCGCTTTCATAAGGTAAATGCTTTGTAGTTTCAGATCTTGTCTCAAAAAAAATTGAAGTTGTATCCAAGTTTTTACATTTTCTAATATTGGCTGTAGTTTCCCTTTTACTGAAAGATAAAATTTTCGTGGTTTACGTCAATTATATGAATTAAACACTTCCACTCCATTGAATTGTGTTTTGTTCTTCAACAACTAATATCTTGAGTTTACAAGATGATAATGTTCATTTATGCGACATTTTATGAAAAAGCTAAATCTATTGACACAAGAAGCCTTGATGAGTCAAACCTAAACGGTAATTTGATGACTCTTTACTCGTCATCAGAATGCAGCAATTGATATCGTTTTATTATAATTTTATCTTTCGTACTAATAATTGCTTGGGAGCCAATTGTCTTTTCAATAAATGAAAATATTACTTAATAATGACACTTGTTAGATATTTAAAAAAGTCAATTTATTACCAACGTAAAGTTTTCTTCAATTTATAGATTATTGTAGTCAGGTAGCCTCTCCGTCGCAGAGATTCCCGTGGAGAAGAAGTGTTACTGATCAGCGGAAAGCTCTGCGGAGAATAGAGGTTTGGTTGTGAGAAAGTTATAACTCAATTGTTCGAAACATCTAGAAGTTGCTGAAACGCAACCTCTCAGCATGATGTACTTGTTCTGTATGTCATATCTGAGAACAATTAAAATGATAAAATCCAAATATGAAGTGCACTTAGAATGTGAACATATACAAAAACACAGCTTTCCCTTACCTGTTAGCTAGAGTTTTAAGACGAAGCGTTGTATAAATATTACTTACATGATAACTTTCAGACTGATTAGACTGTTACCACCTAACCATAATGGACATCAAGGGAAATATTTTGCCATGAGAATGTTTGGTATTTTAATTTCTTTTTATGCAATTATGAAAAGTACCACAGACTATATCTAATTTTGTTTTGCTACATTGATTCATTTCGTCTTCCGCATTCACAACGTAAATGTTTGCATCTTGTCTCAAAATTAGAAGTCGATTTCCTGGTTTAAAAGAAGATGTTTCCAAAGTGTTTTTATTTTGTGATGTTGGTTGTCGTGTCCTTACAATTGAAAGGTACAAGTCTTTTTGCGATCCTGCATTTATAACGTGCTGAATTAACCATAAGAGCGATAGAGATTAGAGTTCGTATCTACCGTGCACTGTAAATTCAAGAGAGTGAAAATTAATCATCTCAAAAGAGTCGTTCTGGAGACGAACGACCTTTGGGGTCAAACTCGACTCTGGAAATAATGGTGGCACACTGTCAGATGCCGTTTACAAATTTCAAATTCATTCAAAATCATTGGTCACGGTTTAAAATCATCAGAACATACCTAATTGTATGAATTTATCACTGCACATTTCATAAGCCATATAGAGAGTCTGCCAGTTCGGAGCTCAAGACAACTGAATCTATTGGTATATCCCCATGTATGAAGGAGTATTTTACGAACAACACACTGAAAATCCATGTCTGCCACAAATAAGAATCCGTGACAGGAATTTTTTGGCTGAATCAGTGTTGTATCAGAGAAAAACAGAAAATAGTCTACAACTAAATTATAGAATAGAAAACGGGTGGATTTGATCGCTTTTATTGCGCGCATTGTTTAATTTAAATATTTTTAGTTATACATTACTGTAATTGAATTTAAGAATTTCTCGCAGCAAATGTTATCGCTGCACGTTTTTAGTGTTATATACCATAGCAGACCTTATCACTGAGGCACTAAAATTAGCTATACATCACGATTTCACCTTGCGTTCATGATATAACGTGAATATAACGTTAACAAAATTAAGAGATTTATAAATGCTGACTTACACTGTCAAAGTTTATGTGTTAATAAGGTACACTTTCTAATATAATATGATGAGCCGGCCACAGGAATGTTTTACATGACCTATGAAAGAATGAAATAAACACAAATTCTTGAATAATTGGTCACAGGAAAAATATGATCAGAACCGATATTTACAGCGCAATGACAATCTGTGAATAAAATCGTACAGAGAATACAGTAAGAGCTAGACCAATAATTTATTTTTGCATTGTTTTTCAGGTACAGCTTGTTTCTTTGTGAAACGGTTTTTGAGCTATGGCTTTGGCTCTACCTCGGGCTCAGGACGTTGTATGAGCGACACAGGTCAAATACAGTCGAGCGGCAGTTGGGGAAACTTGTCTTTTCTGGAATTTTCAGACAACAGCTGTCTGGATCCAGCTGCTCAGTTTCGGTTTCGTGATAATGGTGCCATGTTGAATCTCAAAAGACAGGGATGTCTCGCTGCTTTTCATAGGAATGGTTCTCGTTATAATCTTGATATGTTTTATCTTTACGTTGACTCAGTCAGTTTAGATACAGCTGCTTGTGCTCAGAAGCCTAACGAGAACATCTATCGTGCTATCACCCAGACCCCCGAGGGAGGATTATCTATTTATCATAAAGGGAAAGATGAGAGTTCATTTCAAACCTGGTGTGCATATTATACATATAATTCACATCTTCTAAGAAATTATGGAATAAATCGCTACATGGGATTGACGAAACGATCCACTGATTATAACCAGAGATCTAGACAGAGATTCAGTTTGGGTAAGTTTTTGTGAAATATTTTCTAATGTCTGAAGAAATAGATATTAAATGAGAGCAGGGTATATTTTAAGAAAAATTTACAACTGCACATATAGGGATGTTACGAAAGCAACGGGTGTTTGACTGGGGGGGGGGCGGCGTGAAAGGATTTTTACCTGCATATAAGTGACAGAATAATGGTGTGGTTGGGTGACAAACCGAGTGGGAGAATTTGCGTGCGGGAGCTAGGGAGGGCGGGGGGGGGGGGCGTGCACGTGCTCCCAAAACCATTTTCAATCTAGCTCTTAAGTTCTGGCAAAGATTTGTTCTACACAACCACTCACAAAAACTGTTTCAAAACATGTAACTGGGAATCATGGATATTTAATATATAACAACCTTAAATTTGCTTTTCAGGTGGCAAAGAATATTAGGTTCCCCCATCTAATCTCTTTCGGGGAGCTTCGCTCGCCCCAATTTTACCTTCTTTTCCATTACCCCTGCACGTAAGTGATTTGTGAGGAAAATTTGTAGGGTCTGAGATCCTCTCCCAGAAAACGTTTATATTTTTGATGCTCAATGACAGCATTTCTGGCATTTTCTGAAGCATCCACAAGGGTAACGAATAAATTAGAAGACTGTTTTAAGGCTATTTTTGTTCGTTTGGTGACTGCACATTTGTGTTTTAAGAACTGCACAAATGCATGGGTTTAGAACTGCACATTTTGTATAGAACTGCACGTTAAAATAAACCCTGAATGAAACAATACTATACCTTTTCTTTTCACTCAATCTGTTCATTTGGCTCCTGTCCATGATTTCAAGTGAATGTCCGTACATAAAACAGAACAAGCAAAGAAAGGCGCAAAGCATTGGAAATTTACGAATTTTAACGAATGTGTACGACATAGTCGACGCTTGCGGTTCGGTTCGCTTTCGCAAAATTCAAATCCGAAAAATAGCCGTAAGAAATCGGCGGTGAAACCGTAAAATTTATCGCGGTTTTTGCAGTTAGGTTATTTCTAATAACAAGCTCCTTCGTGGTCAATTACAATTTCCTTTGTATTTTCCGCATCAATTATTACGAAAATTACAAATACCATGCAGCTAGTAA